ACACGTTTAATTTTAGATTACAAGCACAAGTGCAGGTACTTAATAAAGCATGGGTTATGATTGATTAGGTGACTTAGAGCTTTTAATAATTTATTAATTTAGACTAATGAGATATCATAACCATCAAATGAATTTAAATAATAAACTTCAGAAAGTTTAATGACATTAAGTAGATTAACAAAAGAATTAGGATGCGGGTGGTCCGCTTAGGGAGGCAACTAACCTTTATAGTTGTAGAATAAATCTTCTTATTTAGTATTGAATTTAAAAAAAAAGAAAACGCAGGCAGACCAATAGCATTTAGCAGATTAACAAGGAAAGGAATAGTTTAGGAAAAAAGTAAAAGTAGAGTTATGTGACAGTTATTAGCTTTTAAACTTTTGGAGGTATTGTATTCCCCTGAGTTTGTTGTACTCGATTACTATATAATTCTCTCAATACGCGAAATCTCTTATATATGCGATTAAAGCATTTGAGTTAACTTATTTCTTAGTGTTCAAGTACTTACATTTGTAAACAGCAATCAATGTTAATCTATGAACTAAACCATACGTAAAATCGATCTTTCCTTATGTGGTATTGATGCATGTTTAACTTTTCGCGGCTTTCGGAATCAACGCGCCTACGTCTACGGAGCTTACGCAGAAGTGATTTGCAATGCGGTAGAGCTCACCAAAAGTTTTTTTTTGAGCTTCTGTAGTATAGAATTTGTTCGGTACGGTCGCGAAATCTTGAAATGATTGATACGTGCGGTAAAATAACTAAATTGAAACAAAGCTCAACAGTAAAATAAGTAGAATATTTAGGGAGGAAACCAAAATTTATCAACTTGCCAACATAGGCTATCACATTTATTTTGGTGGCACTCTTTAAGTGATAATAAATTGTTTTTTTTCTCTACGGTTGTTTCGCGTGGCGTTCACAATTTGCGCGATTTTCGTATCTTACGTAATTTAGATGTTTAACTATAAACGGTTTCACTGACTCGAGGTCGTTCCTTAAGCGGTGTTGGTACAGGTTAAACCTTTGCCGACTGTCGGATTCAACGCGCCTACGTCTACGGAGCTTACGCAGAAGTGATACGCAATTCGGTAGAGCTTGTCAAACGCTTTTGAGCTTATAGAATTTGTTCGGTGCGGTCGCGAAATCTTGAAATGATTGATACGTTCTTTAAATTAACTAATTTGATACAAAGCTCAGTAGTAAATAAGTAGAATATCTAAGGAGGAAACCAAAATTAATCAACTTGCCAACATAGGCTATCACATTTATTTTGGTGGCACTCTTTAAATGATAATAAGCCTTTTTTTTCTCGCTTCGGTTGTCTCGCACGGCTTTCGGAATTCGCGCGGTTTTCGTAACTTACATAATTTAGATATTTCGTTCGAAACGGATTTACTTATTCAATCGGTTTACTACGCGGATGTATCTACGCGCACACGTCACAGCATTTTTTCTATAACTATCTTGAAACAATACATACGGAATCCAGTGTTCAAGCGGCCAACATAGGCTAGTCCTTCTGCTGTATTGTCAAAGTTAGAAGCAAAATTTATTCAAATGGGTCAAGTCTTGAAAATTAAGCTGTCACGCAGCTCCAGCTTGATACCAATAAAAAAAAAAAAAAAAAAAAAAAAAAAAAAAAAAAAAAAAAAAAAAAAAAAAAAAAAAATATCACCAGTGATATTGAGAGCTGAGAGCAGAAAAATATCATTTGATTGTTGATTTTGCCAACACTGACCAAGGCTGTGGAGTCGGAGTCAGAGCCGGACGCATTTTTGAACATAAGGAGTCGGAGTCGAAGAAAAAGTACCGACTCCGACTCTGACTGAAAAAGACGTGCACCAGTCAAAGGCTGAAAGAAAACTTAAACTAAACTCCGACTGAATCATTAGTTTAAACTAATAGGTAAAATAGATGTAATATCGGGGTAAATGCCCCTCATTTGAGCCCATACGTAAATTCAGCAATCGACTAAATTTTCAATAGCGACCAAAAATATCCATTAGTACCGTTCCAATAGCGCGTTCGTCTAGATAAAATTGATAAATAGCAGGTTTTTAGCGATGGGCCCAATCTTAGATGTATAGGCCAACATTAGAATCATTTCCCCTACTTCAGAAAATTTGTTCTAGATTGGATAAAAGTGTCTATCATGAAAACTTACCATCAAAAACCAGCTTTACCGTTGATTTCGATTGAACAAACCTCTTCACCACAGTTCATATACCCAAAATCATAATATTGGCGTAAAATATGTAAAGGTTTTTTGTTGAGATCTCTGTCATTTTCCGTTCGATTTTACTTCTCTTTAGGTCTTTCGAAAGAGATTGAACGGAACTTACTTCGTAGGTGTTTGGCTCAGGATATTTTTTTCAAATTGTGTACACTAAAACTTAACCTAAAGTTACAACCTTACCAATGTAAGAAGGATCCTGGTAGGGCCTCTAAAATTCTGACTTATGCGCCAGACGACGCAGTTTAATTTTAATTCACTAATTTGAAACGAAAAGCATAGTGTTTATTGAGACAAAAACAATAAAAGTTTTTTTTTTGTACTTCCATTCATGCAATATGTTTATCTCCAAAGTCTATTTGTTAAGATTGATATCTGTATTGTAACTATTAAAACATTTCCCTCACCCTACCTTCTCCTAACTGTGACGTCATTCCATATATCTGGTCCCTAAACGTGAGTCAACCTGGGATTAAATCCCCTCTCCCCTTTCTTCCCCTACTACTATAAACTGTCTTCCCTACTGGAGGTGGAATGTGTTCGTGTGGGTACTAAAGAAATGGTACAGGTACTTACAGCGTCCGTCGATCGTTGGATTACCTTTCACCAGCCACGGAGTGGGTTGGTGGTGGACGCCGTCGTCGCTCGTCGATCACGGGTGCTCGACTATCGCCACGTGTGTCCGGACGTTGTGACCGGTCTGTTTGTCGAAACTGCCGACGGGTCGTCGCATGAGGATGCGACCCGGTGGATTACCGACTTCGATGACCGCAGTAGTGTTAGGTCCCGAACAGAGGAAAAAAAACAACCTTTTCCAAAATTCACACTTTAATATTCATGTCTGATTTTCTCAGAACTGAGCCGGCCAAATTTTGAAATGAAAGTGGTAGTAGCATAGAAGAAACTCTAAGACTAGTAGGTCCCGAAGAAACGTGCTCAACTTTTTGGCTCAGCTCTGGTACTCTCGTCGGTCTCAAGCAAATCGATGCACCCCTCGAAACATAGGAAAATCCACGAATCCCTAATTTTATCTGTCAAACTTTCATAGCGAATCACAACAAACATAGTTTAGAACTAGAATTTCGACTAGAATGGGGTACGCTTATAGATGTACTTGGGGCCAATAGGCTGTGACCCAATTTAAAACCGTCAGTTTCCATAGGTAGGGCGCATTAATCGGTGGAAAAATTGAGAATACATTTTAAATCAATAAAATTGCTATGCATGTTATCGATCAAAAGTTTTGGTTTTGGTTTTGTTTTTGAAAACTAATAAAACAGACCCAACAGTGATTTTTGGTACATTAGTACATCATATCATGATGATTGATCAAACACTGTTAATTTTGGCTGCTAAATACTGCCATTTTCAAAGAAATTTTAATTGCGATCGATTAGTTAAGATTTATAATGAAAAAAGTAAATAACTGATTTCATGGTAAGCCTGACAAAAATCGATTTATATCTCGCTAGACTTATGATTTCAAAAGATACAGAATAACATTTCGAGAATCTTCTACGAAGACACGTAAAAACTAAAATATCGGGAAATGTGAGAAAACATATCGTCTGAAATCGCAGCAATTTCTTTTAGAAAATGTGACCATTTCATTGTAAGATGCGCAAATTTCGTTTAACCGTCTTACCATTTATGTTGAAAAAAGTTTAGTTAAAAATACAATTCAATATTGTTCAAAGTTGTCAGGGGTTTTGTTTGAGATTATGTCTTTTTAAATCACAAATTTGATTAAATTTTATAAATTTTACCGTTTGAACGCAAGGCATTTCGTAGAAAGTTTTGATCAGCCATATATTTTTTTAAAGCGATTTCAGTGTTTTGGAGATTTTGGGCACTATTTTGTAGTCAGTCAATCGAGCAATTTAAAAAACTGAAATCTCGCGTAACATTTGAAAAGGGCCTATGTCCAAAATGTAAACAAACCGATTTTTGATACCATTCTGTAGCACTGGTAATTAGCTACCAGTCGTATAGGAATGTTCCGCATTATCGATAAAAATCATTAAAAATAACTTGATTTTAAAAACGGCCGATCCACCAAATTTTTCCAATCATTCATGCTAAAACGGCCTAACCTCGGGCCTAACATATATTTTTTTTCGTTCGATGAGGTTCCATTCATAAGCCTAGCGACGTAGAAGGGCCGATGATTGAAAAATTTCAAATCAAAGCTAAGCCCTACTGCTTGAGGCAGGGCCGATGATTTATTTGACGTTAAGAAAAGGCTTAGCAAAGGGCCTACAATTTATGATGACAAGCACAACGGCTTAACAAAAAGGGCCTAACCATTTAAAGATTCACAAAAAGGCTTATTACTGTGATATTAAATTTTTATCGATTTTCATGTATTTTTGAAAACGTTTCGCATGTTTTGGATGTTGTGTACTGAGATATAGTTACTATTGTTATTGTGAACAATATAAATGCCTAAAATACTTCAATCTATTTATATAGGAATTAAATACTGGCGGAAAAATTTACAATTCATTTTCTGGATTGTTTACATTTTGGACATAGGCCCTTTTCAAATGTTACGCGAGAAATGTCTCCATGCCAGAATATACTAAATAAACCACTATTCAGTAACGACTTGCCGCGGTCCACGTGCTCTCACCATTCAAACTTCCCGCGCGTATCACATCTGTCGGACTCGGGCCCCATCGGCAGCACGAGTGAGCGTACCTCGCGCGATTCGCCATCTTGGCCGTTCGCACCCACCCACAGAGCTGTCAAAAGGTGAAAATTTTGCTCGCTATCGCACAACGAACTACGGAGTGCTCCGGTGAAAAAGTCTTCAAATCATGTGAAAAGGACCCGAAACGCAGTGAAAACAGCACGAAATGGCCACACAGAAGCCAGGCGAGTGGGCCAACTCACTGTTGGCCCGCTTTGAGGAGCAGGTAAGTCGATTTCGGACCGCTCAATGTTCCAGCTTTCCGGACGCAGCCCCAGCGAGCGCTAGCCCTATGCCATCCGGAGGACGAAGATTTTTCATCCCGCGATCGATCGATATCGGGTGGCTGGCCTTGTCGGACTTGTGGCGCTGTCGTGTGGGTGGACGTGTTTGATGGTATGCGTGCCGGGTGTGTAGTACACGGTTTGTTTATGTTTACAATTTTTCCCTTCCTGGTGCCGGGTCAGTGGGTGCTTTTACGTTCATTCATGTGGGGGTGTTTGTTTACCAACAGAGTTGTAAGGTTGATTGGGTAATATTCTTTATGAATGAAAGGGATTCTATGAATGGGTAAATGGACGTTGATTAATGAATGAGAGCAAAGTTGAATGAAAAGTAATGCTTTTCACTAACAGGTTGATACGAAATGAATGTTTTGAAAACGTGTTGAAAATTTTCGATGATAATAGGAAGCAACAATGAAAAATGCGAATGTCAACCATCTTGATGCGTTGATGGATTTGTTTGAGGTTTATGGAGATATTTCCTAAAATCCCATCCCTTTCTAGCTACCATATCGTACTGGTCCACATGGAACGCAAGCACGGCTCAGTATAGATCAGACCATGACCTGTCTGATCCAAATCTCACGCTATCGTTTTTCGCTGGTCATCTCCGGCCTAACCAAGATGCTGCAACGGGTCAACGAAATTGTAAGTCGTGGAACGTGCGTGCGTGCGGCACGAACGAACATCCCTCCTTAACATTTGATCCTAGTTTATTATTTTGCAGTTTCAGCCACCGGCCTGCCGGGGACACGAACCGGAGCGGTGCTGCTACGATTCGCTGATTATCATATTGGAAACGCTGGAACGATGCCTGTCCGGGCAATCCAAGGATACGGCCCGATTCGAAGAAGCAATGAACGTGAAGCTCCTACTGCGGGAAATTTGCCAATTTATTGGTATCTGATGATTCTGTTACACTGTACCGTTCCAACTTTACTAGAAAATGTTTCATTTTAGATATTCAAAACGAAAACAACCAGAATGCGGCATCTCTCAAAGGGCTCGCCTCGAAAGTACTATACGCACTATCGCAGAATCATTTCGGTGCCGTGTTCAATCGAATCTCAGCTCGCTTACAGGAACTGAGCACCTGCTCCGAGGAGAATCCCGACTACAGTGACATTGAACTGATTCAGCACATCGATCTGGACGTAAATCGTCTCACCAAACTGCTTACGGAAACCATCCAAAAGTTTAAATCGTTGAAAAAGTCTGCCCACTTCATACTGTTGAACTCTCTGGAGAGAGCCCTTTGGAACTGGATTGAGTTCCATCCCAAAGAGTTTGAAGATTTGCAGCGTAACCCCAACGAAGAACTGTCCAAAGGATGCGAGTCATTCTTCGACATTTTAGACTCGTATGCAGAAAACAAAAAAGCGCGGTCAGCAGTGTGGCCACTGCAAATACTGCTGCTTGTTCTGAGTCCAAAAGTTTTGGAAGAAATCGTAAACGCAGACTCCGGGGCTCCCTGCTCTCCGAGGCATTTGAAAAAGAAACATTTTATGGAGGGTATCAAGAAGGGTTTGGGAGCGCATGCCTCATCCAAACAGTCCACCGAATCGGCCGCTATTGCATGTGTTAAGCTATGCAAAGCTTCCACCTACATCAATATCAACGATTCGAACAATGTCACCTTCCAGTTGGTGCAAAGTGTTATCAACGATCTGAAAGCATTACTTTTTAATCCAACGAAACCGTTCTCCCGCGGTCAAGGATACAATTTCCAGGATATTGATTTGATGATCGACTGCTGGGTGTCCTGTTTTCGTATAAAACCACACAACAACGAAGCGCTGAAGGTTTGTCTCAGCCTAAACTCACCGCCTGCATATCATTTCGTGATTGTCAGCTCGCTGTTGAAGATTGTCACCCAAGCTAGGCTGCCATGGTGGCCTCAGATTGATCTAGTCTACGCCCGATCTGGAGAGCTACGTGCGCTATTCACCGACACGCTGAACAAAGCTACTCAAGGCTACATCGCCCATACTCCATTGAGAATGATCACTTCCTTAACGCTGAAATCTAAAGACGCTCAAAGCCGATTAACACGTCCCGATGAAGGTCCCGCCCACAAGGCCCTTCTCCTGCTAATGGTTCGTCTCATTCATGCAGATCCGATGCTGTTGTTGAACAGCCTGGGAAAAGCCGGGCACGAGGTACAAAGCTCTACGCTGGAGTTGATTAACGGGCTGGTTTCCCTCGTTCATCAACCAACCATGCCGGACGTGGCTCAAGAAGCGATGGAAGCCCTGTTGGCACTCCACTCTCCAGACAAGATTGAAGTGTGGAATCCCGAAGCCCCGATCAACACATTCTGGGACGTCAGTTCGCAAGTTCTGTTCTCAATCTCCCAGAAACTGATTCAGCATCAAATCGCCAACTATACGGACGTTCTGAAGTGGCTACGGGAGATCCTAATCTGTCGCAATACTTTCCTTCAGCGTCACAAGGATTATGCAAACGTTGGTAGTCAAATTGCCATCTGTCGACAGGCCCACATTAAACTGGAAGTTGTGTTCTTCATGTATCTCTGGTCGGTAGATTTAGACGCCGTTATGGTGTCACTGTCCTGCTTTGGCCTGCTCTGCGAAGAAGCGGAAATCCGCTCCGGTTCCGATGAACTAACCGTTGGATTCATCTTGCCAAACTATCATCTATATCAGGAATTGTCGCATACTTCCAGTACACTTACCACGCAGAACGTCGAATCTCGGTACAATTTCTACGAGCACACTCAGGGCAGGGCAGCACTTCAGAAGAACATCATGTCTCTGTTGAGAAAAATCGAACATTGCGTCAACGGTGTTCAACCGGCGTGGGAGGAAACGTTCCGCAATTGGGAAGTCACCTCTAAATTGCTGCAGAGCTACCCGAAAGGAAAACCCGAGGAAGGTCAAGCGGAGGTGTTCCACAGAAGCATGGGTAAACGACGGGCCAGTCATCAAAGCTCGGAGCACGATCTCGAGGAGCAAATCACCGAGTGGGGCAACATGACTTGGTTTCTGCTGGCTCTCGGAGGAGTTTGTCTGCAGAAGCCTCGTAACCAACGATTGACGCAGAGTCAAATGTTGCCCATAGGGGTCAGCGGCCCATCGTTGATGCAATCGACGACTTCGTTGTCCAGTTCCAGTTCCGGTCGAGGTTCGATGCACCCGATAATGGGATCGTTGGTTTCATCAATGGGTGGCGGTAGCCAGGAAGTCCAGTACTGTCCGGTAACCCAATTCATAGGACAGTTGCTGCGGCTGTTGGTTTGTAATAACGAAAAATTTGGGCCACAAATTCAGAAGCACGTGAAAGAGTTGGTGGGACAAGAGATGTCCGCTCAACTGTACCCGATTTTGTTCGATCAGATCCGGTCGATTGTGGAGAAGTTTTTCGATCAACAAGGACAAGTTGTGGTAACGGATATCAATACCCAGTTCATCGAACATACAATCTACATCATGAAATCTGTGCTGGACGGTCGTCAAAGCAAAGATCAAAACGATCAGCCGGCGAATGCCGAGCACCTTGGAGTAACGAGCATTGAAAACCTTATGCTGGCGATCGTACGATATGTGCGCCATCTGGATATGACGGTGCATGCAATTCACATCAAGACAAAGCTCTGCCAACTGGTTGAGGTTATGATGAAGCGACGTGATGATCTGGCTTTCCGACAGGAGATGAAGTTCCGCAATAAGTTGGTTGAATATCTGACCGACTGGGTTATGGGGACATCGCATCAGATTGCACCACCAAGTTCGGGAGACGTAACGATCATAACTCGCGATCTAGATCAAGCTTGTATGGAAGCAGTGGCAGCACTTCTCCGTGGACTACCCTTGCAACCGGAGGAATCCGATCGGGGTGATCTGATGGACGCCAAGAGTGCTCTCTTCCTGAAGTACTTCACATTATTCATGAATCTCCTGAACGACTGCGTGGATGGATCCGAGGCAGACAAGGATACGAATAATCCTCCATTGCTTCCGCCTCGTCCTCGCGTTGCTGCTGGGAAACTGACCGCACTACGAAACGCAACCATTCAAGCGATGTCAAACCTTCTCAGTGCCAACATTGATTCCGGTTTGATGCATTCAATAGATCTGGGCTACAATCCGGACCTGCAAACCCGGGCAGCTTTTATGGAAGTTTTAACGCAAATCCTTCAGCAGGGTACGGAGTTTGATACACTCGCTGAGTCGGTGATGGCTGATCGTTTTGAACAACTGGTCCAACTGGTTACCATGATCAGCGATAAAGGAGAACTACCGATCGCCATGGCTCTTGCTTCGGTCGTTACTACATCGCAAATGGACGAACTCGCCCGCGTTCTGGTGACTCTATTCGATGCCAAACACTTGCTATCCCCATTGCTGTGGAACATGTTCTACCGTGAAGTTGAAGTATCCGACTGTATGCAAACTCTTTTCCGAGGTAACTCTCTCGGCAGCAAAATTATGGCATTCTGTTTCAAGATCTATGGTGCAAGCTATCTGCAAGGTTTACTCGAGCCTCTCATTCGGCCACTTCTGGATGATCCTGTCACCAGCTTCGAGGTAGATCCGGCCCGGCTTGAAGCCACTGAGGACATCGAAGTCAATCGCAAGAGCCTGATTGCACTTACCCAGAAGGTGTTTGACGCGATCGTCAATAGTGCCGATCGCTTTCCACCGCAGCTCCGCTCGATGTGCCATTGCTTGTATCAGGTGCTGAGCAAACGGTTCCCAAATCTTCTTCAAAACAATATTGGAGCTGTCGGAACGGTGATTTTTCTGAGGTTCATCAATCCTGCGATCGTGTCTCCTCAGGAACTGGGCATCGTTGGCAAGCAAGTTCCTACTCAGATCAAACGGGGTTTGATGTTGATGTCCAAGATTCTACAAAACATCGCAAATCACGTGGAATTTTCCAAGGAGCAGCACATGCTTTGCTTCAATGATTTCCTGCGATCGCACTTTGAAACGGGACGAAGGTTCTTCATTCAGATCGCGTCGGACTGTGAAACCGTTGATCAGACGTCACATAGCATGAGTTTCATCTCGGACGCCAATGTCCTTGCTCTGCACCGACTGTTGTGGTCGCATCAGGAACGAATTGGCGACTATCTGTCGAGCAGTCGAGATCACAAAGCTGTAGGAAGACGTCCGTTTGACAAAATGGCAACGCTACTGGCATACCTGGGACCTCCGGAACACAAACCGGTCGATTCGCATTTGCTGTTCTCGAGCTATGCTCGCTGGAGTTCGATCGATATGTCATCGACAAACTTCGAGGAAATTATGGTTAAGCATCAGATGCACGAGAAGGAAGAGTTTAAGACACTGAAGTCGATGAACATCTTCTATCAAGCGGGAACGAGCAAAGCCGGCAATCCAGTGTTTTATTACATTGCTCGACGCTACAAGATCGGCGAAACCAACGGCGATCTTCTTATTTACCACGTGATATTGACGTTGAAGCCTTTCTGTCACTCACCGTTCGAGGTAGTGATCGACTTCACGCATACGTGTTCGGACAATCGCTTCCGAACGGAATTCCTGCAGAAGTGGTTCTACGTCCTACCGGAAGTAGCGTATGAAAATCTGCACGCCGCCTACATCTACAACTGCAACTCTTGGGTACGGGAGTACACAAAGTTCCACGATCGCATTCTCGCTCCGCTGAAAGGCTGTCGAAAGCTGATTTTCCTCGATTCTCCGGCCAAACTGAACGATGTCATTGATCCAGAGCAGCAGAAACTGCCGGGAGCGACTCTCTCGCTGGATGAAGATCTCAAAGTTTTCAACAACGCTCTCAAGCTTAGCCATAAAGATACCAAAGTAGCCATCAAGGTCGGACCCACCGCTCTTCAGATCACATCTGCCGAAAAGACGAAGGTGTTGGCGCACTCGGTTCTACTGAATGACGTCTACTACGCCTCGGAGATTGAGGAAGTATGTTTGGTGGATGATAACCAATTCACTTTATCAATCGCCAACGAAAGTTCTCAGCTGAGCTTTATTCACAACGACTGCGACAACATCGTTCAGGCGATCATTCACATCCGCAATCGATGGGAGCTGAGCCAACCGGATTCGGTGACCGTACATCAGAAGATTCGTCCGAAGGACGTTCCGGGAACGCTGTTGAACATGGCTTTGCTCAATCTTGGATCATCCGACCCGAATCTCCGCACGGCAGCGTACAATCAGCTTTGTGCGCTGACGGCAACATTTGATCTCAAAATCGAAGGGCAACTGCTGGAAACGCAAGGCTTGTGTATTCCTTCGAACAACACTATCTTCATCAAATCGGTTAGCGAAACGTTGGCCACAAATGAACCGCATCTAACGCTGGAGTTCCTGGAAGAATGTATTCAAGGCTTCCAGCGAAGCACGATCGAGTTGAAACATTTGTGTTTGGAGTACATGACTCCGTGGTTGGCCAACTTGGTACGGTTCTGCAAGCCTTCCGACGAAGGTAAACGCCAGAAGCAGGTGGCGCTGATCCTGGAGAAGCTGATCAATCTCACCATCGAGCAGAAGGAAATGTATCCTTCGATTCAGGCTAAGATTTGGGGATCCATTGGACAGATTCCGGAGTTGATCGATATGGTATTGGACAATTTCATCCACAAGTCGGTAAGTTCTGGACTAGGATCACCTCAGGTGGAGATTATGGCTGATACGGCTGTAGCCTTGGCATCGGCCAATGTGCAGCTAGTAGCTAAAAAGGTCATCGGAAGACTGTGCCGAGTTATGGACAAAACGTGCCATTCGCCAACGCAATATCTGGAGCAGCACATGATGTGGGATGATATTGCCATTCTAGCGCGCTACCTGCTTATGTTGTCCTTCAACAATTGTTTGGATGTAGCGCGACATCTGCCATATCTGTTCCACACGGTAACCTTCCTGGTATGCACCGGTTCCTTGTCGATGCGTGCATCGACTCATGGTCTAGTCATCAACATTATACACTCACTATGTACCTGTACCAAACCGTCCTTCTCGGAGGAAACTCAACGTGTCCTGCGGCTGTCGCTGGACGAATTCTCCCTGCCAAAGTTCTACCTGCTGTTCGGTATCAGCAAAGTCAAATCCGCCGCCGTTACGGCCTTCCGCTCATCCTGTCGACATCCGAACGATCGTTGGCTAGGCAACGAACGTGTTTCTCAAGCCCCACCTGCCGACCGGGAACGGCTCGCCCTGCCATCGCTGGAAGTGATCACTGACGCACTTCTGGAAATCATGGAAGCTTGCATGCGGGACATCCCGGATTGTGATTGGCTGCAAACGTGGACCTCGCTTGCCAAAAGCTTTGCCTTCTGCTACAATCCAGCCCTCCAACCGAGAGCCCTAATCGTGTTCGGGTGCATCTCGAAGAGTATCACCGATCAGGACGTGAAGCAGCTGCTGCGCATTCTGGTAAAGGCGCTCGAATCGTTTACTGATATTATCCTACTGGAATCTCTAGTCATGTGCCTGACGCGTTTGCAACCGCTGTTGAGGCCTGAATCTCCCATCCACCGAGCGCTGTTCTGGGTCGCGGTCAGCGTGCTGCAACTGGACGAATCAACCCTCTACGCGGCCGGGTTGGCTTTGCTGGAACAGAATCTACACACGCTCAACTCGCAGCAGCTGTTCGACAAGCAAAACATTGCCGACGTCATGATGGCCACCCGGGAACCGCTGGAGTGGCACTTCAAGCAGCTCGATCATGCCGTTGGGCTGTCGTTCAAGTCAAACTTCCATTTCGCACTGGTCGGGCATCTGCTGAAGGGTTTCCGCCATCCGACTCCAACGACGGTATCCAGAACGTCCCGGGTGCTGACCATGCTGCTGGGAATCGTGGCCAAACCGCACCGGCGGGATAAGTTCGAGGTGACGCCGGATAGTGTGGCGTATTTGACAGGTTAGTTGAACTTGAGGAAGAGTTGTTGCGTGTTTAGGTTGTAAGTATGCTGGGCTGCAATCATGTAACTTCGGCGAGTTGTTCACTTTGCAATCCGGTAACTCAAAAATGCTTTATAACTTTTGAGGATCGATAGATAGAGCTTTGCAATGTTCTACAAAGTTGTCCGGTTATCCATTATCTACCATCATTATTCACGCTTCCGGTGTTCTAAATTCCAAGATGGTGACTTCCGGTTTGTGGAAGTCAAACACCGAGGAGAGGCCGAAAATCGAGGTGCAACTCTGTCAAATATTCTAGTCTTGGAACGGGGACAACGAGTAGAGCCCGAAAATCGACGTTTGACGACATTTAGAAATCCAAGATGGCGACATCGGCTGTCAAAAGTGTCAAATACCCAACAATATTTATGTTTTTGGAACGAATACAATGTATAGAGGCCATTCTGGAATACATGATGACGATTTCCGGCTATTAAAAAAACCGTTGAATACCCATTAATATGGGTATTTTTGGAACAAGGACGACGCGCAGAGGCCAATAATCTACATATGTTAGATGCTTTTTTTATTAATCCAAAATGGCGACTTCCGGTTTTCTAAAGTTCATGGGGGCGACTTTTTTTAAACAGGCAATTTGGATATTTTTGGAACGGGGACGACGTTTAAAGGCCGGAAATAGATGTTTGACTCCATATTGGAATCCAAAATGGCAACTTCCGGCTCTAAAAACTGTTAAGTACCCTACAATATGGGTATTTTTGGAAGTGGGATGTAGAGTGTAGAGGTCGTAAATCGTCGAAAGACTTCATTTTTAAATCCAATATGGTGACTTCTGGTTCTAGCTAAACCTTCAAATATGAAATGTTCAGAAAATTTTACGGAAATTCAGGGAAACTCCGAGAACTGCTGGGTTGTCCTGAAATTTTCAGAGAAGTTCCGAGAACCTCAGGGAAGTTGCAAGAATTGAAAAGAAATGCCGAAAAATTCATTGAATTTTAGAATATTTCAAGGTCTAAAAATTTCAGGGAGCTTAAGGCGAGGCTTCAGGGGAGTTTCGAGAAATTCCGTAAAATTTCATAACTGCAGGTTAGTATTTTATCAAATACAATTTCCTTCTAAGAACTGACTTAAAGTTCTTGGAACTTCTCTAAGTTCCCGTAATTTTTCAGAATTATTCGTCCAGTTCTCGAAAATTTCCACTGAAGACTTTCGACACTTCCCTAAAGTTCTAGGCATGAAAAGGAATTCTCGAAATTTCGCTAAAAATCTAAGAATAGCCAAGGAGTTCTCTGAACTTCCCTGAAAATCTAGGAATAGTTATAGTACTCGGACTTCGCAGAACACTCTAGAAATTCCAGAGCTTCCCGGAAATTCCGAGAACTTTTGAAAAAACTCAAAAGGACTTTCCTGAATAGCTGAGAACTTCCCGCAAATTCCGCGAAAATTACTATAATTTTCCAGAATTACCGCGAGCTTCTAGAATTTCCGACAACTTCTCTGAAAATCCTAGAACTTCTCAGGAAATCCGAGAACTTTCCAAAAATTAAAAAAATACATAACTTTCCAAAAGTTCCGGTAACTAATCAGAAGTCCTGGGAACTGCACAGAAGTTCCAGGGACTTCCCATAAATTTCGAGAACTTCACAGAAGATCCAACAACTTCCCAGAAGTTCTGTAGTACTTCTCCCAAATTTTGAGTAATACTAGATCTATAGATCTTCTGTATTTCCGAACGTCCCAGAAATTTTGGGTTTCGAAGATCTCGTAACTTCCTAGCAGACCCGAGAACTTCCCAGAAACTCCTAGAACTTTCCAGAAAATCCGAGTTTCCGAAAAAATCTTAGAACTTTGCTGAAATTTTAAAAATTTCCTAGAAGATCCGAGTATATCCCAGAAATTTTGAGACCTTTCCAGAATGTTCGAGAGTATCCCAAAAGTTCCAAGAAGGTCTGAGAACTTAAAAAAAATCCGTGCATTTACAAAAAAAAAAAAAAACGGGAGCTTTCCAGAAGTTCCATAAACTTTCTAGAAGATTCAAGCTCTTCCCGAGGTTTCCGTGAGCTTCCCCAGAAGGTACGATGTTTCCCAAAAATTTCTGAAACCTCTCGTCAGTTTCGAGAGTTTTCCATAATTTCCGAAAGCTTGCCTGGAAATGCGCACACTTCGAAGAACATCAGATAACTACTCACAACTTTTGTGAGTTTCCTATAAGTTCCTTCCAAAAACTGGTCAGAAGATTCTTGAATTTCCCATAAATTCTGAGAACTTCCCAGAACATCGGCAAATTTCACTGAAATTCCAAGAACTTCTCAGAAGTTCTGCAATTTTTTTTTAGAAATCCCAAGAACTTATCAGAAGTTCAAAGAACTTTACAATGCTTAAAAAAAACGTTCCAGAAATTTCTAAATCTTCCCAGAAGATGCAACAACTTGCCAGAAGTTTCGGGAATTACCCAGAATGTAGGCTACTTTTGAAATTCCAAGAACTTTCCACATCTTCCTAAATCTTCCCAGAGTTAAATCCGTGCATTTAAAAAAAAAATTCGAGAGCTTTCCAGAAGTTCTATAAACTTTCCAGAAGATTCAAGCACTCCCCAGAGTTTCCGTGGTGCGATGTTTCCCAAAAATTTCGAAAACTTCCCATCAGTTTCGAGAGTTTTCCATAATTTCCGAAAGCTTGCCAGACATTCCGAGAACCTCTTAGAAAATTTACGAATTTTCCAGAAGATCCGAGAACTTCTCAAAAGTTCAGAGAGCTGCCCAGAATTTCCGACAGATTCTTATGAGATGCGTACACTTCGAAGAACATCAGAGAACTGCTCACAATTTCTGTGAGCTTCCTATAAGTTCCTTCCAAAGACTGTTCAGAAGATTCTTGAATTTCCCATAAATTCTGAGAACTTCAAAGAAGATCGCAGAATTTCACAGAAGTTCCAAGAACTTCTCAAAAGTTCTGGATTTTTTTAGAAATCCCAAGAACTTTACAATAGTAAAAAAACGAAGATGCAAGAACTTGCCAGAAGTTTCGGGAATTACCCAGAATGTAGGCTACTTTTGAAATTCCAAGAACTTTCCACATCTTCCTAAATCTTCCCAGAGTTAAATCCGTGCATTAAAAAAAAAATCCGAGAGTTTTCCAGAAATTCTATAAACTTTCCAGAAGATTCAAACATTCCCCAGAGTTTCCGTGAGCTTCCCTTAGAAGGTACGATGATTCCCAAAAGTTTCGAAAACTTCCCATCAGTTTCGAGAGTTTTCCATAATTTCCGAAAGCTTGCCTGAAATTCCGAGAACTTCTTAGAAGATTTACGAATTTTCCAGAAGATCCGAGAACTTACTAGAAATTCTGAGGACTTCCCCAAAAGTTCAGAGAATAGCCCAGAATTTCCGATAACTTTCCAGAATTTTCGACAGATTCTTACGAAATGCGTACGCTTCGAAGAACATCAGAGAACTACTCACAATTTCTGTGAGCTTCCTATAAGTTGCTTTCAGGAACTATTCAGAAGATTCTTGAATTTCCCATAAATTCTGAGAACTTCCCAGAAGATCGGCGAAATTCACAGGAAATCCAAGAACTTCTCAGGAATTTCAAGAACTTATCAGAAGTTCAAAGAACTTTACAATAGTTAAAACGTTTCAGAAATTTCGAAATCTTTCCAGAAGTTTCGGGAATTACCCAGAATGTAAGCTACTTTTGAAATTCCAAGAACTTTCCACATCTTCCTAAATCTTCCCAGAGTTAAATCCGTGCATTTACAAAAAAATCCGAGAGTTTTCCAGTAGTTCCATAAACTTTCCAGAAGATTCAACCACTCCCCAGAATTTCCGTGACCTTCCCCAGACGGTGCGATGTTTCCCAAAAATTTCGAAAACTTCCCATCAGTTTCGAGAGTTTTCCATAATTTCCGAAAGCTTGCCAGACATTCCGAGAACCTCTTAGAAGATTTACGAAGTTTCCAGAAGATCCGAGAACTTCCCAAAAGTTCAGAGAATAGCCCAGAATTTCCGACAGATTCTTACAAGATGCGTACTCTTCGAAGAACATCAAAGAACTACTCACAATTTCTGTGAACTTCCTATAAGTTCATTCCAAGAACTGGTCAGAAGATTCTTGAATTTCCCATAAATTCTGAGAACTTCCCAGAAGATCGGCGAATTTCACAGAAATTCCAGGAACTTCTCAGAAGTTCTGGATTTTTTTTTAAAAATCCCAAATCAAGAAATTTTGAAATCTTCCCAGAAGATGCGAGAACTTTCCAGAAGTTTCAGGAACTACCCAGAATGTAAGCTACTTTTGAAATTCCAAGAACTTTCCACATCTTCCTAAATCTTCCCAAAGTTAAATCCGTGCATTTACAAAAAAAATCTGAGAGCTTTCCAGAAGTTCCATAAACTTTCCACAAGATTCAAACACTCCCCAGAGTTTCCGTGACCTTCTCCAGAAGGTGCGATGTTTCCCAAAAATTTCGAAAACTTCCCATCAGTTTCGAGAGTTTTCCATAATTTCCGAAAGCTTGCCAGACATTCCGATAACCTCTTAGAAGATATACGAATTTTCCAGAAGATCCGAGAACTTCCTAGAAACTCTGAGGACTTCCCCAAAAGTTCAGAGAATAGCCCAGAATTTCCGATATTTTTCCAGAATTTTCGACAGATTCTTACGAAATGCGTACACTTCGAAGAACATCAGAGAACTACTCACAATTTCTGTGAGCTTCCTATAAGTTGCTTTCAGGAACTATTCAGAAGATTCTTGAATTTTCCATAAATTCTGAGAACTTCCCAGAAGATCGGCGAATTTCACAGAAATTCCAAGAAACTCTCAGAAATTTCAAGAACTTATCAAAAGTTCAAAGAACTTTACAATAGTTAAAACGTTTCAGAAATTTCGAAATCTTCCCAGAAGATGCGAGAACTTTCCAGAAGTTTCTGGAATTACTCAGAATGTAAGCTACTTTTGAAATTCCAAGAACTTTCCACATCTTCCTAAATCTTCCCAGAGTTAAATCCGTGCATTTACAAAAAAATCCGAGAGCTTTCCAGAAGTTCCAAAAACTGTCCAGAAGATTCAAGCACTCCAAAGAGTTTCCGTGAGCTTCCCCAGAAGGTGCGATGTTTCCCAAAAATTTCGAAAACTTCCCATCAGTTTCGAGAGTTTTCCATAATTTCCGAAATCTTGCCAGACATTCCGAGAACCTCTTAGAAGATATACGAATTTTCCAGAAGATCCGAGAACTTACTAGAAATTCTGAGGACTTCCCAAAAGTTCAGAGAATAGCCCAGAATGGTCGACTGATTCTTACGAGATGCGTACACTTCGAAGAACTTCAGAGAACTACTCACAATTTGTGTGAGCTTCCTATTAGATCCTTCCAAGAACTGTTCACAAGATTCTTGAATTTTCCATAAATTCTGAGAACTTCAAAGAAGATCGGAGAATTTCACAGAAGTGTCAAGAACTTCTCAAAAGTTCGGGATTTTTTTAGAAATCCCAAGAACTTTACAATAGTAAAAAAACGTTCCAGAAATTTCAAAATCTTCTCAGAAGATGCGAGAACTTTCCAGAAGCTTCAGAAATTACCCAGAATGTAAGCTACTTCCCACAAAATCCCCGAATACTTCTCAGAAGTTTTCCCAGAATTTTCATGACCTTTCTTAAAATCCCGAAAACTTCCTAGAAGATGCTAGAATTCCACAGAAATCCCAAGACTTTCTCGCAAGTTTTGAGAATTCCAAAAACTTTTGAAAGATTTAGACATTTCTGGTAAGTTCTCATCTACTGTCTTACCTGACTTATAATGAATATTTGTTAAATACTGGGAAACATGAGATATTGTAGAGTATTTTACAGTTTTTTACAAACCGGAATGGTGTCAAACTCATCGTCCTCGTTCCGAAAATACCCATTTTGTTGGGTATTTGGAAATTATTCACAAACCGGAAGTAGTCATCTTGGATTTTCGAAAACAGGAAGTCGAATGTCATCAAACATCGTTCCCGTTCCTAAAACATCCATATTGTATAGTATTTGGCGCAAACCGAAAGCTGTCAAATTGAATTCCATAATGGCTTCAAACATTAATTTCCGGCACGTCTTCCCCGTTCCGAAAATACACATGTTTTTTGGGAACTAGACAGTTTTTCAGAACCGCAAGTCGCCATCTTTTGAAATGGCGTTAATCGTCGATTTCTGGCCTTTACTCGTCGTCCCCGTTTCAAAAATACCCATATTGTAGAGTATTTGGCAGTTACAAACCTGAAGTCAGGCTTGCTGAAACTCCTCAAACTCACTGGGAGGTTCTAAAACACTCTTGTCCGGCGAGTTTATCCAGCCCTCACCTCGAGTGAGTGGCGGCAGGAATATGGAAGAAGTAAACAAAAAATCCTCGAGAGAGAGAGGGAGAGTGAACTTCAGCGAGAGGATGATTTGACGTGAGGTGCGCTTTTCGGGACTCCGGATGACTTTTTTGTTTGACGCAAGAAGCTCAGAGTTCACCCAGAGAGAGAGTAAGAGCGTGTGATAAAAAACATGAACATGAATGGCAGCAAACCTCACTCTCATTGTATCCCCCTTCGCTCGCAAGCTCTGAAGCTCAGTGGAATGGTTTGGCAGTATGCATTCTACTTCTCAGAAAAATGCTACGCTCGGCTCATTTCAAACTCGCGAGCGAGGCTCCATCAAGCCTGCCTGAAGTCGCCGTCCTGGATTCCAGAATGGTGTCAAACATCAATCGCTGACCTCTACTCATCGTCCTCGTTCCGAAAATACCCATATTACTGGGTATTTTAGAGTTATTCACAAACCGGAAGTCGCCGTCTTGGATTCCAGAATGCCATCAAACATCGATTTCCGGCCTGTACTCTTTCGTTCCGTTCCGAAAATATTAATATTGTTCGATATTTGTCAGATTTCCACAAACCGGAAGTCGCCATTTTGGATGCCAGAATGACGACAAGCATCGATTTCCGCCTCTACTCATTGTCCCCGTTCCGAAAATAACCATATTGTTTGACAGTTATCTTGGATTTTTGAAAATCAGAAGTCACCATCTTGGATTCCAAAATGGCGTCAATCATCGATTTCCGGTCATGATCTTAGTCCAACTTTGTAGTATGTACATTCGAAGATTCCATCTCGCCATACTTCTAAGATAAAAGCATTCCCTGCTGCGTCGTTCGTTTGTCTTTGTGGTATATCAACACTAATAATCGATTAACTGACAACTTAGTAGAACCACAAACGAAGTGACTTGATTTGAACATAGTTGATTTTGTGTGCAATATGATCTTTGACAGCGTGCAAAGAGTGTATCATTTTGTCATTTTTTTATGCATTTCAGTTAAGAGTAGAGTGAAAGAGATAGAACCAAAACATTCTAGTACATTTAGTGTTGCCATGTGGTACAATTCATTAGTAGTGTTGCCATGTGGCACAATCCAGTAGTAGTGGTGTTGCCATGTGGTACACTGAAAAATTGCATTAGCAGGTGCGTCACCAAAGTTTTCGAGCCGCTCCGTCTGTCACTTCGTTTGTGGTAGAACATTGCTCTAGTCATCTCGTATATTTATTATCAATGTAAACAGAAAGGCAGATGCGCCGTTCATATTGGCAATTCATGTAACTTCGACGCGTCCTTCAGCAATCATGTAACTTCGATACAACTTATGTTCTGCGTTCGTTCAGTTACAAGATTCCAGCCCTGTTGGCTTTCTTCAGTGCACTATTCTTCTAGTTCTACACATATCGAATCGTGCAGCCTGATGTTTGCTGATGGATTTTACCATAATAGTAAAGAGCTACAGAGTCGCCATCAACGCCAATTGCACGAGCGTTGTACCAACAATCAATGCGAATCTAGCCCATTGGTCCCAAGTACATCCATAGAGGTAACTCTAAGACCACTGGGTCCCGAAGAAAATCATTATTATGTTTGGCTCACTCAGTACCAGAACAACGGTCCCAAGCAGTCCCAAGCTATTTCACTCACCCCTGCATGTTCTGCATGAATCCACACACCCCTGATGTTATCTGTCAAACTTTCATAGCGAATCAAAACAAACATAGTGTAGTAATAGAATTTCAACTAGAATAGGGTACGTTAATCGTTTGCTTGGGACCAATAGGCTACTAAAGTGGTGAGCCAATTTAAAACCGTTAGTTTCGTATTGATTGTTGGTACATCTATAAGCGTACACCATTGTAGTACTAGAATATGTTGTTTTGATTCGCCGTATTAACAACCGGTGGAAACTAACGATTTTGAATTGGCTCACTACTTGACTAGCCTATTGGTCCCAAGCAAATCGATTAACGTACCGCATATTACACAATATTTGTTTTGATTCGCTATGAAAGTTTGACAGATAAAATGAGGGTTTCGTGGATTTTCCTATGTTTCGAGGTGTGCATCGATTAGCTTGGGACCGAAGCAGAGCTGAGTATTAACACAAACGAAGTGACAGACGGAGCGGCTCGAAAACTTTGGTGACTAACCTGCTATTGCAATTTTTCAGTGTACCACATGCCAACATCACTACTACTCTGGATTGTACCACATGGCAACACTACTACTAGATTGAACTAACATTTTTACCAAATGTACTAGAATGTTTTGGTTCTATCTCTTTCACTCTACTCAAAACTGAAATGCATAAAAAAATGACAAAATGATACGCACTCTTTGCACACTGTCAAAGAATCATTGTACACAAAATCAACTTTGTTCAAATCAAAACAAAAAACTGACCCATCTGGTGGATGATGGCACAAGCTTCCAAGAAAATGCCAACCACATGAACCACATTATTTTAATGGATTTCTTCGCCAGTAAGTCGTCTGTCACTTCGTTTGTGGTATTAACATAGTGGTAACTCTAAGGCCGACAACATAGTAGAAGCGATTCGATTCGATAGCAATTGGCAAAGCGAAATGAAGCGGCGAGCAAAGCAACCTATGACATAGTGAAAACGTTTTTGAAAACATTACAGTCGTGCGAAATATTTGTTCAAATTTGTTTCAATTCAGCATGGATTCATCCGATCAGGAATATTTCGCTTCCTCAAGCACGATTAATTTCGTAATGAACAACGAAAGAGAGTTTGCAGTTCACCCGATCAATCGAAATAGAAGGCGAGATGGGGAGTTCTTCAGATTGTACGAAGATCTTAGTAAATATCCAGAGAAGTTTCGGTCTTACACAAGAATGGATATGGACACATTCGATCTGAGCAATCAGATTTCCCGAATCGATATCGGTGTCCATTTTTCCTCAATTGAATCAGTCCACTTGCGTTCGCAGGCGTCAAAACACAACACGAATAGCTTTGTCGCTTTGCACCTCTTCGCATCACTTTTACTATGACAGGTTTGGGTGATTCCCATAGAACGCTCATAGAGCTAGCTTTCACACAAGCGCTTCGCTTATTGCCAACGCATCGAATCGCTTCTACTATGTTGTCGGCCTAAGACTAGTAGGTCTCGAAGAAACGTGCTCAACTTTTTGGCTCAGCTCTGGTACTATCTTCGCTTGCTTGGGACCAATAGGCTAGTCAAGTAGTGAGACAATTTAAAATCGTTAGTTTCCACCGGTTGGTTGTACTCCTTTAAGGACAAGATTGATGGAATCTACATACGGCCGCTATCATCGCTATTTTACAAGGCAAATCAGCCATGACATGGATTCTATCAACCTTGTCCTTAATCCAGTATCGCATTTGACGCACTAGATCAAAGAAGTTCAACGATACTGCAATCATATCTGTCGAGGGTATTAAGTAAATATTAAGAAGGTTTACCAATCGAGCCCATTATATTCATTCCAGCCCTAGTTTGCTTCTCGGAGGAAGTTCGCTCCCGGTGCCACGTGAAGCACACCCTACCCCGTTGGCCAGTGGAAATCGGCGGCGTTGGTGACAGTAGCGGCGGAGCGGATCCATTGGCGGCAAATGCAACCGGGGGCAATCAAGCCGGTGCCGGTGGTCAGAACGTTCGCAGGCAAAAGTCCTGGGATATGCTGGATCAGTCGGCAATCCAGTATGCTCGACAATCGCACAAGGTGCAACCACATCAGGTAAGTGTGGGTTGGAAAATTCGATTGGGCAGTGTTCAGTCGAGTGAAATCCATTTCACGTCATTCCGCGTCATTGGTGGCCGTTTGACGAGCTCGGTCGACATTTCGTTTGCAACGAAAACTGGAGAAAGTACCCTCTACTGTTCCACATATATTTCTTTTTGTGTAGATTTTTATGGTTGAAAAATTTGACGTTCGGTATTTAGTTTTCAATCTTTTCTACCCAGTAGAATATGTAATTTGGTTTTCCGGAAAATAACTATGGTACGTTGCAACAATTATCACCACAGTCATCCTGTTCCATGATGCCTTGTTGGGTTTATTTGGACTAATCCTTTTGGTTTTGGGGTTATTTTGATTTTCTGGATAGTTGTTTCTTGTTATTGGAAGTTCATTCGTAAACATTGGTTCATAAGTATTTATGTTGATGTTCCTTTCCATGTCACATTTCATCCGTGCCCTCTCGAACATGTGTAAAAACACCATCTCTATCACTGAATCCGTTAACTGTCACAGAAAATGTTGTGCACTGAGCTCTGTTTGGTTGGTTTACTTGAATCAGAATGGTCCTAACTTTATACGAGTAAAATTTCGACAGAATTTCGGTAAATCAACCAACCACAGACTCAGCCCTCTTCCTCTTCAGTACTAATCAGTATCTGCCAGATTTAACTTCCGATTATAACGTAATTTACAACCCCGTTTTGTATGCATCCCACCGTTTCCTCATCTAGGACCCGGCTATCAAAGGAAAATCCTGGCGAAGTCTAGACTTAACCCATAATCCGCATCTGGGAATGATCAGTCATTCCTCGTTTGTGTCACATGCTTGTACTAATATCAATACGGCCACTACCACATTGTCCGCGTACAACACAACAAGTATCACAAATAACAACAACAACAACAACAGCAACACAATCAATGCAAGTAGTCAAATCGGTGGTGGCGCCTACCATCGGAGCGATTTCCGCAATCGTCGCTCCTCATCGGAACCGGTTAGCCACCAGATGGTTCTGACCAATCCAAACATTACCAAACTGCTGGCTCTCAAACAGGCTCACATTTACTCAGGTACTAGTATCTCTTCTGCCCCTCCTTCTGCTGCCATTGGCACAAACTGTTATACTAGTTTTACGGCAAACATCACTACTACTAGTACTTCTACAACTGCTACTACTACTACTACAACTTCAACTAACTTAAACAACAATGCTGCTAGTACCACCATGATCACGAATACTACTACTACCACCACAAATCAAACCATCACATGTACAAACTCCGCCACTACCAATAGTACGCTGACAATCAGTACCGCCCATAGTAGCGCTAGTGGCGCCACTAACAGCACTAGCCCGGCGCAGTCGATCGAAGATGTTGAAAACGACGATGAAGCGACTAACTTTATCGTCGACTGTTTGCAAGACATTTCAGCGATCAAAGTAAGGAAACTTAACCACAACCGCAAGCAACCCATACCTGCCCGAATTCTCTCTTATTCACTTTTCTCTTGAGCATTTTGTAACACATTATCAAACAGTATGAATTTTCATCTAAACTCTATCCGTTTCTTTTTAACCACTTAACCCCTTTCACACGGAATCGTTTTTCCCCTTTAAACCCTTTCTTTACACACGTTTTTTCAATCACTCTCTGTAGAATTTCTCTTGTCGTTGTCATCTTCGTCGTCGTCGTCGTCGCCGTGCATTTCTGCTGATATTTTCCAGTTAATTTCCGAACTCGTCGGAAGCAATTTTTGAGCTTCCCATGCACTCTTTCTCTCTTTTTTCTTCTACAACCACTCTGTTGTCTGTCAACAAAAACCAATTTTAAAATTAAGGAAACAGGTTTGTCCCCCATCATCTATTCAGGATCCATCCTAGTATACTAAACGTTTATTAAAAAAAATCTATTCCGACGTCACTTTCGATCAAATTTTAAGTCCCTTTCAATCTTGTATTGCACGAGTCTGTTTCATTTCTTAATAAACCAAAAATTTAAGCCTTTAATTCTGTTCAATGTAAACCTTTCATCGAATATCGTTTTCAGGTTCTATTATGGTTTTAAAGTCCATTTGGGAATGAGTACCGGGGACATCGTCATTGTTGTTGATTTCAAATACATATTCTAAGGACTGCATCAATCAGATCATAAGTGGCAGTGTTGCCAAACACGTTCTTTTCATTCGATATTGTTCTTGTGTGTGTGTGGACATTCAATACTGCGTAATTGTTTTTTGCTTATCGAAACTAGCCTGAATGAACCATGGTTTTCTTCGGCGAGTTAGGATTCTCGAAAGAATTAAGCGACAGATGCTTTATACAAATTGTGCGACTTGCCATCAGATTTCCTACTTAGTATTTTTATTTTGTTCCATCGTTTAGCGTGCTTCCTATCTGGCAATGATTTCCCGTACTATTACCAACTGGTGAAAACTAACGATTTTAAATTGGCTCACTACTTGAGTAGACTATTGGTCCCAAGCAAACGATTAACGTACCCCATTCTAGTCGAAATTCTAGTACTACACTATGTTTGTATTGATTCGCTATGAAAGTTTGACAGATAAAAATGAGGGGCTCGTGGATTTTCCTTTGTTTCGAGGGGTGCATCGATTAGCTTGGGACCGAAGATAGTACCAGAGCTGAACCAAAAAGTTGAGCACGTTTCTTCGGGACCTTCTAGTCTTAGAGTTACCTCTATGGTTTTACCGGGGTTTTGAACATCAGATCAAGTCGGTAAAATTTTCCAATGACCTTTAAATGTGATAAATCAATAAATTTGACAAATTTTATTTTTTATAGCTAAATGGGGTAAACTAAACAAAGTGTGTAGAAGTTCGGAATACATTTACTAATTATTGTATATTTAAAAGATTTTCAAACTTTTACCGAACAGTTCTGTAGTTCAAAATTTACCGATTGACAGAGGCCTGGATTAGCGTGCATAACAAATGAACTATATTTACCAATGAAATCAAATGAAAACTATTGTTGTTGATATTTTATGTAACTGGTTTTGTCAAATTTGGTGAAAAAAAGATTACCGAAGGGCAATAAAGCAACTTTTTTTTACATTTTTGTATAATTTTATTCATAAATATAGGAGTGGCACTCTTGTGACTTTTTAAGAAAATTATTTTTGACCAATTATAGGGAATAGTTATATATTCTTTGTGATTGGTGTTTCAATTATTCATTATAAGTGATGCCTCAATGCAGGAATTGTAGAAAACAATATTGGGAAATTCCAAAATCCTTATTTTATGATGTCTAATTATTATAAGTAATTTCTATTTTTGACACATCAGCACAAAATGTTGTTTTGCAATTTTTGTAATACTTCATTTTGGACAGAACTTTAACTCTCTCAAATTTATAAGGCGAATCAAAACAAACACAGATTCTAGTTCGATAATGGGATACGCTTATAGATGTACTTGAGACCTCTTGCGATCAACGGGCTAGTCAAGTAATGAGCCAATTTCAAGCTGAACATTGCATTAGGTCCTAAGTAACATTGATCGATTCTCTTCATCGATTTTCTCTTTCGTTAATAACATGGGTATAGAACCATTTCTTGTCATTTTTGTCGTTTTAGTAGATAGATAATAGCTTCTTTCATCGAGCTGTGTGCTGAAAATAGCTGGGAATGTCTTAGTATGGCCATGAGGATGCAGAGAGAAAGTCTACGAAGAGAATCTGTTAATGTTACTTAGGACATTCATTGCATAAGCTTGATTTAAAATCGTTAGTTTCATTAGGAACTGCATAGGAACACCATTCATAGTTTCATGGGTGAATTAGCATTGAAAACATGTTTATTTTCAAAATTATAGGGGGTGGCACTCTTGCCCCACATGGCACTCTTGCCCCACCCGACCCTACTTACGGTGTGTGATGTGGGTGTGTAGTGTGAGGGGGTCGGCCGGCGACGTTGGGATCAAGCTTCTAAGGGGTTGATGCTGCTGGCGATGATGGCTACAACCCAAGTAACAATGTTGGTTTTATGAGGGTTCTGTAGACCATGAATTGGACTTGTAGAACGCTTTAAAACCTTGATAAAACTTGCAATGTTACTTGGGAATCGGGTGATCGTCGAGCTCGCTTCTAGCACCCGTTCCACGATGAGCTGGGAAAACTGCAGGCTTGTGCGATCGGTCCACGCCCTAATAAACAAATACCATAAACAAACTGTATCCCGGATGGGTAAACTATCCCACACATGGTTTGGATGATACCCCGAACACGTCGTTAAGCTCTTTTTTATGGTTATTTGTATTAGGGCGTATATGTGGCCACCGAGCGGAGAATGTCCTTCTGTCGTATTTGGTATCCACCGAGGTCGATCGAAATACGGGGTGCGCATTTGATGCTGCGTGCCATGGAGTGCCACCAACAACGTGCAGGTTGTGCCCAAACACAAGAACCCTCCCAACACGCCTGAGCTCCGCCCAATCGAAATATATTGGGCCATCGTCAAGCGGAACCTGAAGAAGACCCAACAAAAACTGTTGCTAGCGAGAAATAGTTTAAGGCAAACTGGTGTTCTGCCGAGGGGGATGACTCTATCTACGCTGCAGGAAAGGTTGTGTATTGACATGGCTAGCTACGCGTACGCTGAGTAGATAGAAAGAAGATTGATGACCATTCTGAAGATTTCCTGGAAAAAGATGATGCGTGGTTCAAGTAGGTGCGACAAATGAAAGAAGATTTTTTGAGAATTGATTCGCTAGTATGAGATTTTTTGAGCATCTCGAACTGAGATGTGTCACCCCCTAGTGTTCTGCGGCAAACAAAGTGGAAGAGGTGGCTTTAAAGAATCTGATGACAGGAGTTAAACGAAAAACCCGGCCGTTCGGTCAATCGGAAGCATAGCTGAATTTTTTTTAAATAAAAAAATTAATCAATTTAGTTATACGCATTCTTGTTTGACCAAATTTTGATCGTAACACCATTTAAACTGTTTACCATTCGAACAACTTTGCTGATGACACGAAACTGATCATAACGTTAAGAGATAGAAAAACAAGTTTTGCCGGTAGAAGCTATTGTCCCGGGTGCATCGTTCACTAGCTGCAGCTCGATCGATGATTGTCATGTTATTGTTTGAAAAAATTAAAGTTTGATGATATTTGGAGTTGACGTCAAGGGAAACGTTCGTTTTGAGTTCGAAAATGGAAGTGCGGGACCAACCTAGGGTGAAATGGTTGATTTCGTCAATGATCGCTGGATGCGAATGCTACTGAGATGGAAACAACATACCATATGTCGGTGCAGAAAGCGCTATTCATTAATTTCAAGTTGGAAGTACTTGCACAGTTATTATTTGCTAATAATATGCTTTAACTTACTGGGCAATCAAAGACCCACAATTGTAATAATTGTTATAAAGGGTGTCCACGATGAAATTGCCACACACAAAATTGATTCGCAAAATTCGAGTTTTCATCCGATTGCCATCAAATTTTCAGGGATTGAGAAATAACTATTAAACTTCATTTTACCATTTTACTCGTATTTTATTTACAGTCCATACGCAAATGCCCGCACCTTGGCCTTAACCCCGGCCATAAGATTCTGCACAACCTGTGAATCAACCGTTTTTTGCATGTAAACCCATACTTTCTTCAGTTCCTCGACTGTCTTCACTACCTTAGGTCGTTTAAGAAGGTGCTGCTTCATAATCGCCCAGTACTTCTCGATGGGGCGGAGCTCCGGAGTGTTGGGAGGGTTGAACATTTTCGGCACGAAATTGACCTTATTGTCCGCATACCACTTCAGCACGTCCTTGGAGTAGTGGCATGAGGCCAAATCCGGCCAGAAGATTGTTGGGACGTTGTGGGCCTTCAGGAGAGGAAGCAGCCGCTTCTGGAGGCACTCTTTTATGTACACCTGTCCGTTCATCGTGTCCTGGGTCACGAAAGGTGCACTCCGCTTCCCGCACGTGCAGATGGCTTGCCAAACCAGGAATTTCTTCGCAAATTTGGACATCTTCTGAGTGCGGACATGCTCTGGAACGCTGAACTTATCTTTGGCCGTGAAAAACAGGTTGCCGGGGATCTGTTTGAAGTCGGCCTTCACATATGTTTCGTCGTCCATGATGCAGCATTCAACTTTCGTCAGCATGTTGAGGTACAACTTCCTGGCACGGGTTTTGGCAGACTTGTTCTGCTTCTCGTCGCGATTAGGGGCCTTTTGTACCTTGAACGTTCGAAGCCCAGCCTTAGTTTTGGCCTTCTGGACAAAACTTCGGCTTAGGTGCAGCTTTTCAGCCACATCCCTAACGGAGGCGTTCGGATTTCGGTTGAAGGCCCCAACTACGCGGTTGTGATTTTTGGTGTTGTACGGAATACTTTTTCCTTCACTTCTGGGCTTCCGATCGGTGGTCAACCGTTCCTCGAACCGCTCAATCACTCGCGACACCGTGGAATTCGCGATTC